TCCCTGGCAAAATTCCAACTGGCCTGTGCACTGGGAACATGCACTGGGAACGTGCACTGGGGTGGAGCCACAGAAGTTCACATAGTTTGCAGTCCAGAGGAGCCTGGCCCCTCCTCTTCCTGTGTGGGACCTGGGATTCAAGGTGCAAGGTGGGAAGCACACTAGAGGAACTCTGGCCTTACAGAGAGTCCCTGTTCCCCCCTTTATTTCCTTTCCACCCAATAAAACCCTGCACTGTGCACCCTTCAATTTGTCTGCAAGCTTATGTTTTCACGGTCGTGTGATGAGAACCCCTGTCTTTAGCTGAACTAAGGAAAAGGCCTGCAACATGGTCACCGCATTTTTACCAAAAGTAATCAACATAAAACTGATTTGTTAGTCAAATAATGTAGTCTCATTAAACTTGGCCTGATTATTTACATAAGTGCAGCAAAGAATAGTGATGGATTATTTAGACTTTTTTAAAAGTCTACTTTGCTGGAATCTCAGATTGTACCTTTAAAAGCCTCTAAAGGCCAGGAAACCAAGCCAAGGACTTAGCATTAGACTTCGTCTGGGATACCTATAGATTTGGTGAATTCCTCTCTTCTTGAAGTTCCCAAAATATCCTGAGGGTTTGGGGCCTGTCGGAAAGTGACATTCCTTACTCAGCTATAAAGCCAAGAGCCTTTTTTTTTTTTTCTATAAAGAGGAATATGTTTGAATATATTTTGCTACATCAAAATAATAGCAAAAAATATAATACTGTGCAAAAGATGTAGGAACACTTATTTTCATTGGCTTGGAAAGCTGCATATTATTGTATTAGCTTTTTATTCTTGTGTAACAAATTACCACAAATTTAGAAACATAAAATAACACCTAATCATTAGCCCACGTCTCTGCAGCTCAGACATCTGGCATGGCCTTTTTAAGCCAGGTACCAGGTCAGCTTTTCCAAGAAAGCTTTAGAAGCATTGGCTCCATAAAGTCAACCTTAGTTCCTTAACATTATCTAGTCATATCTGGAAATGTGATATTCCAGTCAAAGCCTTAATAATATAACCAGTGTTTCCAATTATGTCGTGATGTAAAGAGAACAGATTCTTATTGAACTCATGTAGGCAGCCATATTGCCATGAAAATAAGAATACTCACTGACAGTTTCTAAATTTGGGGGGATCTGGTAGGAAAAAAAGATAAATATCTCCTTTATGTTTACTAAGGTATGCTTTACTAACTTGCTAAGCTATACATCGCTAAGAGAAAAAAACAGAAAACTTTTGTTAAATCTGTAAAGCATAATGTTAAAGAATAATCAGTGTTTCAGACAAAAGTCATAAAAAATTATCTTCATCGGTTTGTTTAGTCCCATGTCATTAACTCTTATTCTGCTTGATTTTGTGATAGTACTTTCAAGAACCCATCGGTTTCTTCATTGGAGTTCTGGAAATTCTTACCCAGTCTGGCTATAGGGTCTTAAAGTTACTAGAAAACCTGTGTTTTAGAGTATTTGCAGAGGCTTTTTCTATGACTCTGTTTGAAAAAGCAATTTTAGACAGTAGCTGATCGTAAATGCCTTCAGGAAGAATCAGAATAAACAACAGCTGTCTGTGAATAACGACAGTTCAAAATGACCATGGTTAAGGATCTGATAAGAGTTCACTAAAATAATGATTAAATCGACAAGGAATTTGGTTATATCTATGACATACAACATTTTAACATGCTAACTAGAATCATTACTGATAATATATTAGAACACATCACATTTTTAGGAATTTTATATAATTTTTAGAACACTTATATTAATGATATACATTCATATAAACATAACATGAAGGTTAAATATCATTTTTGACTATGTTTTCTGTATACTTTAATATAGCAAATAAGCTTAATTGGTTTAATATCTCTTTTTATAAGGAGAGAAAATAAATCTTTTGTAATCCTCCAGATATCCATCTGGAAAATTCTAAAGTTAGCTCAAGGTCAAATAGATTTAATTAAAAATTTGATTTTGGAAAGTTTTCAAAAATATCAAAAAGTTAAAATTATTAATTAAAACACAATCATAGATCATGAAATAACGCCAAAGCAACAAAAGATTTCGAAGGCAAATACAGAAAGTTACACCATCATTAAAAAAAAAAAAATTTAGCTTTGTTAATATTGAGAACACTTAATTTACTTAAGTAATCAAAGACAATAAAGATAATATGAAGGACAGGAAATTATTTTAATTAAACACAAAATCTCTGTTTCCTAGGCAAATTACTTCAAGCATAAAGAAAAACACTTTGGCCAGGCACGGTGGCTAACACCTGTAATCCCAGCACTTTGGGAGGCCAAGGTGGGTAGATCACGTGAGGTCAGGAGTTCGAGACCACCCTGGTCAACATGGTGAAACCCCGTCTCTACTAAAAATACAAAAATTAACTGGGCACGCTGGTGCACACCTGTAATCTCAGCTACTCAAGAGGCTGAGGCAGGAGAATTGCTTGAACCCGGGAAGTGGAGGTTGCAGTGACCAGAGATCACACCACTCTGGGTGACAGAGTGAGACCATGTCTCAAAAACAAAAAAAAAAAGAAAAGAAAAAGGAAAACATTTCAATAAATCTCTTATCAAGAGCAGATCAGTGCTCAAAAGAAATTTTGTCCTTTTAATTGAGAAGACAAAATTCTAGTTTTGCATCAGTTTGCTTATGATATTAAGGGTCATTTTAAAAACATTTATAATAAATTCATTCAGTTTAGTCAGCTTGACTAGATCCTCTCTTTAGCTCTCTCTCGCTCCCTAACATTTTATATCCATCCAGTTTTTATCCTTTATTCATTGATTCATCCTGAAGCAATCTTTTGAACCTCAAAACTGACAAAATTATTCTTTTCCTCAACGATAGCAAAAAAACACAACTTTATTCCTTATAACATCTCACTTTCATTGTAGCTTTTCATACTGAGGTATTTCCTTTATGATTTCTAGCAGTTTTTGTATTAAAATTCTTAACTCTTAGTGACTTTAATTTCTAGTAAAAACTAGAAAGCCAGGAAATAAGCAATTATAAACGTCTATGGATTTGTGAATACATTATTTCATTACTCCTAGAAATATATATATGCTTCATGTTGAACAATTTTTCGGTGTGCCACAGGACATATTTATTAACAGATTCAAATATCTTTTGTTATTCTGTAATAAGAAGCCAAAAGAATAGAAGGTTAAACTTACATTCAGCAATTAATGTTTCAGTATTACATCTTATTTGGAAATGATCATGATATTCACCAAATGTCAATCATTTAATTTAACCAAGTATAATTTTAAGGTTTTAGCTTGCAAAAAAATATTTTGGAAACTAGTTTTAAGTACACGCATTTAATAAAACGTAATCATTGTTGAAAGGGTCATTTATAAACTTTTGCCCTGTTTACATTTATTAAGTCTACTTGGTTTTAACAATTATGTCTGAATTGTTAATGAAGACTTCATGAGACATTAAACAAAGCTAGTCATTATCTTATTTTCTTATAGACAAATCAGCCAAGTATCAAAAAAAAAAAAAAAAAAAAAAACAGAAACAAAGACAAAGGTACAACATATGGCTCTTTTCAATTTTTTAAATTGCCATGTTTTTCATACATCAAGCAACTTATTATTCATTATTTTGTTCTTAGGTTGAATTTATAATTTTACACTCTTAAACATATACAAGCTTTTAGATTAGTAAGTCCAGGTAGAAGAAGTTGTGTGTATGCATTGTATTTAACGTTGACAATGCAGCAAACGTGCCTGGTTTAATTAAATCAACAAACTTTAAGTAGGTTTTTATTTACCAAAGATTATCTAAAACCACATGAACTTGAAAAACACTTACGTTAGTTTCTCTTTTCCTGAGATAACAATTTATATAAGTTTTTTTTTTTTCTTTTAAGCCAAATCTTCACATTTGTACCAACAGGACAGTTGTTTAGGATGAGGGTTCTCTTAAAAAAAATACTTTTAGATACGAAAGTCCAAATCTTCAAAGGTATACTTACTTCAGTTTTCCCTCAAAACTGATCATCCTTTTATGGTTTAATCATGGACAAAAGAGGCATCCATAAAGAGGGTACAAAACTCCCACCCCCCCCAATTCAAAGTTTGCTCCAAGGATACCTAAGAAAGTAAAGACCCTCATTGTTAACAGGGCAACAAGGGCTGAGACGATTATGACAAACTCTCCTGAGAGCTGGCGCAGTCATACAAAGAGACGCTTCGTGTTTCAGAGTCCTGGAGAGCTGGCTAACTGCTAGGCAGAAGCCCAACAGCTTGGGCCCCAGGCTGATAGAAACCAAAGAGCACGTTTCCACTGATGACAAAGCCAAGCTCTTATGACTTCAAAGAAGATGCAGGAGAGTCTGATGCAGGACAGGTGAACCTCACAATTGGGGATCAACCTGAGAGGGTTCTTGACTTCACCCAGGAAAGAATTCAAGGGTGAGCCAGTGGTGAGAGAAAGCAATGTTTATTGAACCAGGGCTGCTCCTGGCAGAGCAGGGCTAACCCATAAGCAGCGTGCCCAGAGTCAGCACTGTATAAGCTGTTGGCAGGTGTATTTAAACCCACTTTTAATTATATGCTAATTAAGAGGCAGATTATTCAGAACATTCTGGAAAAAACGCAGAGAGCTTCCAGAACCATATACAGTAACTTGTGGGCCATTGCTATGGCCCATTGCCATGGCATGTGTAAACTGTCATGGCACCCATGGGAATGTGTTTATGCTAATGAGTAGTGAGGGCAACTAGAGGTCACTTTCATGGCCATCTGCTTATTTTGGCTGGCTTCTTCACTGCCTTCTGTTTCAACCATATCCTTTCAACCAGATCAGCGGGGTCATGACCAGAAAACAAGCCCTGCCAGCCTCCTACCTCAAATCTAATTAATTATAATTTTCCTCCTTATGACAACCCACACAAAAAAAGACAGAGATAAGAAAAACAAGGACTTCCTGGGAGGCTGTGGATCAATTACCAATGGACACCCAGAAGCAAATTCACAAGACTCACAATTCAAAGAACCAATTTTTAACAATATTTTTCCCTGTCAGTTGAATTTGGGCAGGAAGGAACATGCAAAAATTTTTACCTTCTTCTTTCAACTGGACGCTATGGACAGAAATCCAGGAGAGCTGACCTTGATAAGAATTGCTACTTTCTTCCATCGTTTATTAGGCCCCTCAGGATCCCATCTGCAGGCTCCACAGTGAGTCGGAAGGTGCTCAGCCTTTTAGGACAGAAACTGTTGGGACAGAAGAATACTCCTTCACCCTTTTAGGGTCCCAGGTGGGTCCAAGAATTAAATTGACATAACATAGATTAACAGGAGCAAAGCACAATACAAGTTTTTCATAGCATAGGAGCCTCATAAAGAAATAAAGACCCAAAGAAGCTGTCAGAGTCAGTTAATTCGATACCAGATTTGACAAAGAATTATGAACCGTAAACATGTGATCAGGCAAAGGGTCTTGGGCTAGGGTGGTTAACTAGATAGAGAAGTAGCCAGCATGACAAGAGTTAGTTGAACCAGGCTTGTTTATACAGAATTCATTCCACTTCAACTTTCTTGTCCCTGATGATAAGAACCTTGCTTTTTCTCTAGTGTAGGGATGACATCTTTCACACGGGAATTTCATCTACTGCTTTTAAGAAAATGAAGTTCAGACTGATCTCCTTGCACCTGCTGTTTTTCAAGTGCCTTTAACTGAAATAGTCAACCTACCAAAATAGCATATTTTAGCCCCTTCTGGAATGTTGATTTTGTTTATTTTCATGCATTGCTTTTATAATTATAAAAGCTCATTTTATAATTATATAAAAGGAGACCTGGGAACACCAGCCTTCTTCCCTCCACATACAGGAACTGCAGACACTGCAGATAAAACAGAGCCAGAATGCTTTGCTGCCAGCTGGAACTTTGACCCAAACCCCAGTGCGACAGTCTCCAGTGCCCACTCAACTGGAATGCATCAATGAAGGTCACTTTCTGTCCAGATCATGGAGTCTGCATGAAAAGAATCAATGCAATCCTTTTTTTTTTTTTTACTGCGCTCTCTCACTTCTTAAAGAAAAACATAGCAGACCCTGAAGGTGCCCAGCTCAGACCCCCCTCTGAAGCCTTTTACTAGCCCTGTGCATCCAGCCCAGCTCCTGTATGCCCTGCTGCTAAGAAAAACAAGGACTTCCTGGGAGGCTGTGGATCAATTACCAATGGACATCCAGAAGCAAATTCACAAGACTCACAATTCAAAGAACCAATTTTTAACAATTTTTTTCCCTGTCAGTGAGCACTGGGGCCTTCCCTGGAGAGCTGGAACAACCTGGCAACTCACTCTCAGCCCTTTCCATCCCCCCCAACCCACAGCCAGTGACCACCAGTGTGGGAATACAAAAGCCCAGCACCTGTGCCTTGGAGAGGACAAACCCTGAGATATCATCTCTGCTCCAGCACACCACTTAAGACCAAGATGAGGCTGGGGTGTCACCCAAGATGATACACTTGTTGAGTCTCTTCTCCTCCCCTATTCGTCCTCCACCCTCCACTGCCTCACTGGTACATCTTGGGAGCACTTTCTCGACAAAGCCCTTGCATTGAATCCTTGGCTCAGGCTCTGCTTCTGGGAGAATATGACCTACTGGGGACAACAGTAATGGTGAATACAGTGGTGAACCAAACAAAGCAGACTTTGACTTCATGAAGCTAATGGGGAAGAATAACTATTATTTCATTGATTGGATGCTTGGCACAGAAGGAAGGGTGAGTACCTATATTCATAGATGAATTCTGTCAGCCAAGGTGGGGGAGTTGCTTCAGCCATCCTCTTTGGTGCTCATTCTAAGTGTTCTGTTTCCAGCATACCAGCTTCTCAAAGGCACTGTGCTGCCTTCAGTCGCAAGGCCTCCGGAAAGTGTGTCCACATTTAATGGGAGGTGGAGAGCCAGCCTTCGCCTTTGTGCCAAGTCTCCTGAGAACAAACATGCAGAGCCTGCTCCCAGTTAGACAAAGGTCCAATTCCCTTTGTCTTCCCCTTAGAAGGCAGTCTCCTGAGACTCTGCCTTGAAGAAGTAGGATTGTGTCTGATGCATTTATGTTTGTGGGGTTTTAATGTGTTTTCTTTTTATCTTCCCTAGGAAAAAAGAACTGAGCATTGGCAAAAAGCTGAGGATGACAAGCGTAGGGGATGAAAGGCTGCTTTTCTCCCCCACTTCTGAGCTTTTCTGACAGCTCCCGGCTGGGAGAGACCAACACGATGAAAAGACAAAGAATACTGGAGAAGAGAGGGGGTGACCTCATCCTCCCAGTGGTTCCTCTAGAGTCTGATTTGACAAGATGCCTTCCCACCCAGGTGACCCCGTGGGAACGTGCCAGTACCTCACCCCACGACCTCACTGAGTCCTCACGACAAATCCAGGGTGCAGATTTTTTCCCCATTTGGAAATTACAAATTGAAATGCAGGAAAGTTAAAGAGCTTGCCTGAGGTTGCTTAGATAATAAAAGAATATGGATTAGAACCCAGACCTACCGAGCTCAACAACTGAGTCCTTTTTTACTGGATTACACCTATCTCATGGGCATAATTTTATCTAGTCTCTCTCTATTCCACTGTTTAAGATAAATCCTGTGAGGGTTAAATGAGATCATGCATGTTCAGTACTTAGCCTGGAGGTTGGTGTGAGATAAGCACTCTATAAATGCTACCTAGCGTCGTTATTGCTGTTGATGTTGTTGCTGCTGTTTTTGTTATTGTTACTGCTGCTGCTGCTACTGCTGTTGCTATTTTTGCTGCTGTTGCTGCGGATTATGTTGCTGCTGCTGTTTTTGCTGTTGTTGATGACAATGTTTTCACTACCATTCTTGTTATTGTTGATACCGCTGTTGTTGCCATTTTGCAGCAGTTGTTGCTGCTGATGTGCTGCTACTGTTGCTGTGATGATGCTGTTGACATTGTCACTGTGTATGTTGCCGTGATGCTGTTGACAGTGTTACTGTGGATGTTGTGGTGATGCTATTGACATTGTTACTGTGGATGTTGTGATGATGCTGTTGACACTGTTACTGTGGGTGTTATGATGATGCTGTTGATGTTGTTTCTCTGGATACTGTTGTGTTGCTGTTGATGTTGTTACTACGGAAGTAGTGATGATGCTCTAGACACTGTTTCTGTAGATATTGTGATGATGTTGTTGGCATTGTTACTGTGGGTGTTGTGATGATGCTGTTGACACCACTACTGTGGATGTTGTGATAATGCTGTTGATGCTTTACTGTGGATGTTGTGATGGTGCTGTTGACACTGTTACTGTGGATGTAATGGTGCTGTTGACACTTACTGTGGATTTTGTGATGATGTTAATGTTGTTACTATGGGTACTGTGATGATGCTGTTGACACTATTACTGTGGGTGTTGTGATGATGCTGTTGATGTTGTTTCTCTGGAGACTGTTATGTTGCTGTTGATGTTGTTACTATGGAAGTAGTGATGATGCTCTAGACACTGTTTCTGTAGATGTTGTGATGATGCTGTTGGCATCGTTACTGTGGGTGTTGTGATGATGCTGTTGATGCTTTACTATGGATGTTGTAATGGTGCTGTTGACACTTACTGTGGATGTTGTGATGATGCTGTTGATGCTTTACTGTGGATGTTGTAATGGTGCTGTTGAGACTGTTACTGTGGATGTTGTGACGATGTTGTTAACATTGTTACTGTGGATGTTGTGATGATGCTGTTGGCATTGTTACTGTGGGTGTTGTTATGATGCCGTTGACATTACTATGGGTGTTGTGAGGATGCTGTCGACACTGCTACTGTGGATGTTGTGATGATGCTGTTGGCATTTTACTGTTAATGTTCTTGCTGATGTGGTTGACAGTACTATTGTTGCTATTTTTATTCTCATTGCTGAGATGTTATTCTATGATTATTGTTGCTGCTGTAGGTACTACTGCTGTGCTGCTATTGTTGATGTGATAATGTTGTTGATGTTATTAATGTTGATGTTGTTGTCGATGATGTTGTTAATATACCCATCCAGAATCACTGCTTTTGTTACACACTTCCAAACCAAATTTAATTTAGGCATAACTTACTAGTCGTACAAGGATATATGTATAGCTTACCCCTCATGTTTCCACAGAGGCCAAGAATTTCCATTCCACTCTCCGGGAGAGATTTTGAGAGCCATCTGTAGCCTCTCTTTGCCTCCTCGCTGAATGGGGCATGCTCCTCTCAGCCATTCCTTTCAGAAACCTATGCTGGTCAGTGGTACATATGACTGGGAGAATGAGTCTACCTCACTTCTCCCAGTCATATGTACCACTATGACTGTAGGAGGAAACCCATATGGCTACCCACCTCAGGTACATGGGTCAATGCAGCCTTTTAGTGTGATATTTTCATCCCCATCTGTCTTGCTCCTATGTCTTAATTGGTTCAAAATTAGGAAGTGAAGAAAGAGGTGCTATATTTACCTCCAAGACACCAACGAAGTCTTCGTGATATAATTCAATTCGCTTCTTACTTCCCCAAAGAATCCTTTCCTTATTTCTATAACCCACAGTGGTCTCACCCACCTATGAAGTTTTATAGCAGTTTGTTATTTATTCACATGCCAATAAATATTGTGAAATATGTGAACCTGGCTAGACTGTGACCTCCTTCAGACTGAGAACATATCTTAAACATCCTCTCACTTAATGTGGTTCTAGACATATAGTAGGAGCTCAATAAATGCTTGTAAGGTGAAATCCATTGGGAGCTTAATACTTAGGAATGTTCCCATGTGGCTGAGTTTTTATGCCATCTTATGTTTTTGAATTTAAAGAAATCAATTGGAAATTTGTGTTCCAAAACTTACATATGATGCATGAATGAATGCCCTTGATGGTACAGAAATGGGAAGAACTGATTCAGTTCTTTAGGTTTTTTTGTTTTGTTTTGTTTTGTTTTTTGCGTTTTTTTTTTTGTTTTTTTTTTTTTTTTTTTGAGGCAGAGTCTCACTATTGTCACCCAGGCTGAAGTGCAGTGGCGTGATCTTGGCTCACTGCAAACTCCACTTCCTGGTTCAAGCAATTCTCCTGCCTCAGCCTCCTGAGTAGCTGGGATTACAGGTGCCCACCACCACACCTGGCTAACTTTTTTACTTTTAGTAGAGACGGGGTTTTGCCATGTTGACCAGGCTGGTCTCGAACAGCCCGCCTCGGCCTCCCAAAGTGTTGGGATTACAGGTGTGAGCCACCATGCCTGGCCAGTTCTTTAGTTTCTAAGGTCCATCAGTTGATATTAACTTCTTGTCATTACATGCAATTCAATAAAAGCATAAGTCCTTACCTGTAGGGGCACTGGAATGGATGCCAGGCTTCCCAAATTGAGCATAAAATTCCAAGGGGTTTCAAGGTAGGCCATTCTCTAATGCTTCCTTTTACAACAGACATTGTGCCAGCAGGCATGGGGCCTAAGGAGGATCCCACGAACCTTTCCACAGAATCGAGTGTGTGGCTTCGTATGATGCTTACCCCTCATCTCTCTAGGATAGTTGTTTATTAATTATTGTATCTATTTAACATGTGCAGCATGATGTTCTGATACACATGGAGAAATGACAGCTACAGTCAAGCAAATTAACATCTCAATCTCCTCACATAGTTACTGTGTGTGTGTGGGGGGGGTAAGAAGACATAAAATCCAGTCTCTTAGCAAATGTTCAGCATACAACACAATATTATGAACCATAGTCCTCCTACTGTGCATTAGGTTAGACTTATTCATCCTACATGACTGCAAGTTTGTACCCTCTGACCTAGAATCTCTAGGATTTTTCAATTCCTGAATTTGCCAGCAAATTCCAGCTGATTGAGGTTACCAGACAGCTGACTACCTCCTAAGGTAAATTATTGTTTCCCAAGTATTTTAAGCTTTTTGTAGGTCTGGGTTCAATTCATACTTATCTGGTGAATAAAGTTTCAGTAACTTA